TTGTCTTACATTTCCATCACTTCCTTCTCTTTGCCGGCAAACTTCGCGATCTCATCGATGGCCTCATCCCTACACACAGTGGAGTCCACATCAAAACACACGGCATCTGATCCGCGAAACAACGCTCTCACCCGACCATCACTTCCTACTGAAGACATACCGAAACGTCGTTTCAATGGATCCGCTGAACAAAGACTAAGCGCTGGATGTCTGCGACAAATGCCCACAACTCTCAAAGCAATCACTTTTGTATTATATGTATTGCGATATAACTTATTATAAGTTATATTACAGAATATCTGTAGTTATCTATAGTTATAGTATATGTGGACTACAAGTGAGTATTGTGTGAATAGTTATGATTGAATGCAATCGTATGAATGAACCGATGCTTTGAATGTCATATAAATAGCAAACTTTACGATAAATCCGATGCACTGAACGACTCATAGACTCGACGACTCATTCACTCAAACAAAGCACTAATTATTATACAACCGAATGATTGAACCAAACGTTCGATTCGTTTGATTATCCAATGAATGACTGCATTGAAGGACGCATTCATTAATCGCTTAAAACTCGAAAAAATCGCTTTAATTTTGTGCTGCGATTACTTTCTTATCCAACACTTCATCTCTCGCTCACTAATTCACTATTATTTTGACATTAGATGCACTCAAAACACAAACAACGTTACCCATAGTCCGTATGAATGGCCCCCTTCTCGCCATTTGTTGCCCTCAATGATAGACCCCTTTCCTAATGGCGTAAACAGTGTATGCGTTTGTCGTTCACTGCCTTAAAGTTCCGTATTATATAACATGTGATGCAATATATGACGCATTTTATGTGATAACAGGTCTGAATTGACATCAATTACAGAGAATGTGCCCAAACTTGCGATTCCAGTATTCAATACATGCGAATACATCCAAACACTAATGACTACAGATTTACTCTTTATGTTATAACACTTTTTATCAAATTGAATGAAATTTAATTTACTATTAATTGCTTTATTGCGAATTGAACTAGTTGCAAAAATGCCACAAAGCATGCATCAGAATAACAAATGCAAATATTAGTTATTTATAGTCAAATATTTGTAAAATAAAATAAACGAAATTGTGCATTCTCAAACTTGGTCGTTATCTTCATCGTATGATAGTATCTTTTGCTCGTTAGGCGTACTGTTATTCATAGCAATCAATATGGTATGAATCCAAACAACATTTATCATTTTAATACTATACGCACAAAGTTTCAAAAGTTGGCCCCATATACTGACCTTGCTTCTTTATCTACCCCATGCACAGCCGGGCTTTAATACTGTATAGTGTACCAGAAATGCACTCGTATTTCGTATGTATAAACAAATGCAAAATTAGTAACATATGTTCAAATTGAGTCGATATATACTTTAATATACCATATGTTTAAATATATTGAATTGCAAACCCGGATAATATCATACATATGTATTTGCAATGAATATTAATAATTGCAATGTATGTTTGCCATCACTTTTTCCCATTACATTTACTGTAACCGAGTGTTCAGTTCGTGCAGTTATATAACGTAAGGGTTATATAAAGTTTTAGTTAGAGATTTTACTATACATTTACTGTATATTAAGGATATATAGATATAAGTAATTATAAGATTACATAATATCTATATATAAAAAAGTGTATAAAATAGTAAAAGTGATAAAAGTTGTCAGCATTTGTCTGAAAGTTTGAGACTCAGTCTAACCGTCTGTCTATCCACTAATCAGTGTCTGAAAAGTTGTGTCATGTCTTCAATAGGAAGTGATGGTCGGGTGAGAGCGTTGTTTCGCGGATCAGATGCCGTGTGTTTTGATGTGGACTCCACTGTGTGTAGGGATGAGGCCATCGATGAGATCGCGAAGTTTGCCGGCAAAGAGAAAGAAGTGATGGAAATGTAAGACAACTATTGATTGTTTGCAAAGACTTTGTTGTAATTGAAATACTTGTGAATCGTATGAAAGGACCCGAAGAGCGATGAGAGGAAGTTGTAGTTTTCGGGAGGCTTTGGCGCAACGCCTGGATCTCATTCAACCCAATGTCCAAATGCTTAAGGATTACGTGCGGACACATCCGCCGAGACTTACGCCCGGAATTAAGTGAGTCTTTACATGTCTTCACTTAATATAATATGGTTTGAGATAAAACTTAAGTTTGAGTTAAAATAATTGTTTTTTGAATTTAACTGAAATCTCATTTAATTTATAAGCAGTTAAATGAGTGCAATTCTAGTGCACTTTTTTCAGTAAAGTTGTTTTTATAAAGTTTTGCATCAATTTTATATTAGTTAATTAAGTATATTAATTGAATGGTAATTATCAGAGAACTGGTGAATCTATTACACGCCCGAGAAATAGACGTGTATTTGGTTTCCGGGGGTTTCTATTCGGTGATCGAAGGGGTGGCCAAAGAACTACACATTCCCGTCAAGAATATATTCGCCAATCGAATCAAATTCTATTTCGACGGTTAGTTCCCATACAAGACATCGGTTTAAGTATTTGTGACACAAACTAACTGTCCGTCCATTCAATGTATAGGAAGTTATGCGGGTTTTGACGAAACAGAGCCGACGTCCCAACAGGACGGGAAGGCACAAGTGATCGCATACTTGAAGCACTTGCAGGGCTATCAACGCGTCACTATGATTGGCGACGGAGTCACTGATCTGGAGGCCTGTCCTCCGGGGGTAAGACATATATTTTGTAATATATTTTGATAGAAATGCTAACATTTGTGGGCACTTAAGGACGCATTCATTGGTTTCGGTGGAAATCAGATCAGAGAGCGGGTGAAGAAGGAGTCGAAATGGTTTGTCACCTCTTTCTATGATCTCATAGAAGAACTCAATCGAAATTGATTTTTATTTATTTTTATCAAATAATGTTTAGACAATTATATTGTTATATGAATTAAATGTGTTTTCATTTGTAAAAAATATTTTTATATAAATATTTGTGAAAAATAATATTTTTTGAAATTATAGCTATTGCTATGCAATGTGTGAAACACATAGAACTCAATATAAAGTAGATTGTTACTGTAATCACTATTTAATTATTTTATGCTATACATAAAGAGTATTATAATTAAAACTAATTAATTTTATAAAACTAATTTTATTATATAATGGATCTTAAATAAATTTATTTTAAAACTAACAAATATTTTTAATATACCGGTAAATATTGGCTTTTTGTTAAGTTCTATATTTGCCTAAAATGTTAAGACTGTTTACAATTGTTTGTTCGTTGATTTGATTGAATTTTAGAAATGATATAAATATTAATCTATTTTTAATTAAAATCTATTCTATTTAAGATTAATTGATTAAAACATTCTGTACTTTAAACTAATAAAACAAAATTTCTTAATACTTTATATTATGTGATAAATTATTTACAACAAAAAAGCATTTAATTTAATTTTGTGCTCATATCATGTATTTTCTTGCATATTATGTAATGACAAATGAGACAACATATGAGAGATGAGAGAAATAGAGAAATATATATTCAGTAAATTATTAATGAATGAACAAAACGATAATTGTATTCATAAATGCATTATTTGCTAATTAATTATACGCTTGTTTCACTGGTAGACAACGAGACAATTCATATCTAAATAACTGATCATTTATTATATCGTTAAACGTATTTCTATTGTTAAGAGATATTTGGTCACAAAATTCCAGTGGTTTATGGATTTTGGTTTTGCAAAAAGAAGGCTAAATAAACCCACAGTTATGTAGAAATGCAAAGAATATATACAATATAGAGATAGACTATTATATGAGAGAAAATATTCTGTTAAGAGAATTGTCAGTGGATTTTGGACTCCGTGTGAGTTCTGTGCGCAAGACTTTGAGGCAAAAATTTGAGCGTTTAGTTATCATAAGGAAGAAATCGATACCAGAATTTCTAACAGTATTTCGTGTTTTCCGTCTATTTGAATGATAACTAGAATAGAGAGCGAACATTGAATACAAAGCTCTCTTTCTCTCTCTCTCCCTCTATCTCTCCCACTCTCTATCAAAAGCAACACAACAACCGAGTGGTGAATGTGTTTCCCAAACATTGGCGAGAATTCCGTTGATGTGTTCAACGCTTTTTTATATAGACTATTGTAGTATTTGTCGTACGTTTTGCTGTAAAATCATTTAATATCACATGAATTATGTATTGCTATTTTAGATCATTTAAAACATATGCTTTCTTTGCAACACATTTCACGCCAATCATCGCTGCTTTAAACTAGCGGTAAGTTTTGTGTCATAAAATCATTGCAAAATTTTTTAAAAACAAATAAAATTAAAACTTTTAAATCTTGATGTCTATACTGTAATGCAATTCTATAAGACTATAAATATATGGCATTTTATTTGTATGACAGGGATAGCAGTGCTTATGAGCGACAATGATATGAATGCAGAATTAGATGCTATTGTCGTTTGCAATTCTCTACAGAATTGCTTGAATTTAATGTTAAAAATAAATTTTAATTGCAATTTATAGTCATCTCCTATTTGGGCAATAAATGTTAACTCATTATATATTATTGTTATTTTGCAAGTTATAAGACGTTAGACATTATCTTATAGTTATATTATAAGAATTTGGGAATAAGTGCTGTTTATTGTCAACTTATATAGTGTTTTATAGATAAGGAAACAGTGAAACAGTTGACGACTATTAACTTTGCCAAACATATCATCATTTGATACACTGGAAAGTCTTTTTTATTACTTCTGTTTTTATATTAAAACATAATATCTATTCCTTCACTTCATTTCCAACATTGTTATCAAAAGAGAAAAATCTTTACATTTTGAATGAAATGAATGAATAGATTTATCAAAAGAAACTCATTTTTAAAAGATTTTTAAAAAATATTATTTTAAAAACGAATGCATGATATGTTTTGTTAAAATCAATTTTACGGTATATTTTATTTCAAAAACATTTTAGAGATTTGTATTATTATTAAATGGATTAATAATTGAAAGCTATTAGTATTGATTGAATGAATGATAAAGTCAGTGATTACAGCGTTTAGTACCCGATAAGGTATTTCGTGCTCAAAACAAATGATTCTTTTATTACATCAATAAATTTGTGAAAAAATAATTAATCAGAAAAAACATGAATTATGAATAAAAATACATACAAAGAAAAAAGGAAAAACAGATGATTGAATGAAATGGCAAAATCAAACACGATATTACATAAGTTAGATGTATTGCCATTAACTATATATTCTGTCTTATGTTTTATGGTTAATGTTTGGCCACATTTTATTTTATATTCATATTCCTATTATTTTTAATATATTGTTAATAAAGTTATACATTAAATATAAATTAAATTTTAAATAAAACTCTTATAATAACTAGTTGTTAATTAATTTTAGTTGTTATTACTTAAATAAAATTATATAAATAAAAAATTTAATTAAAAATTTTCCATATTGTTATATCAATGTTTGAATGCAAATATTAGTTCATAGCAATAAGTGTCGGTAGGTTTGTTATGTCTAATTTGCATAAAATACAGTTAAAAACTTAATAAATTTAACGAATAATTAAATTATTGTGGATTATATTCTCTAAATATGATTTATTTTCTTTAATTGTTTCATAAAATATAATAAATTAAATTATTTCTGAAATCTAATTATAAGAATATCTAAATTGTTATTTGAGATGACAAACAATATTTCAAAAGTTTGTCGTATTGTTTAATAACTTACGATTCGTTAGCATTGATAACAAGAATCGATTGTATATATAAGCAGATCTGACACCACATTCACAATGCAATCCATTTAACTCTCAAGAGATTCAGGAATTTTTTTAAAACTTAGTTTTAGTGAAATCAATATCTTTTTTCGCAACGAAACTATTATTTATAAAACAGCAAAACATTTTAGGCTAAAGAATAATAATATCTTTATTATACAAATGATTTTAAGGATTGAATTTCATATACAATAGGATTATATGTTAATTTAATTTTACGCTTAATTTAATTAAATGCAAATTTTAAAGAAATTTTTAAAAACATGTTTGTGTTGAAAATATTTATTCAATTATTATATTAAAACAGTATTTTTTAGAAGCAAATTATTTTACTCAAAAATAAAATAACCAATAATTTAAATCAATGCCAAATTGCAAAACAAATTTTGCATAATTATTATAATTGATTATAACCTTAATCAATTAAAAATAAAACAATTATAATTTGCAATTAATTATAACTTATTTTTGTGTGACTATTAAGCAATCAATTTATTTTATATATCCGTTTAGTACCCAATTCTGGACTGCATTTTGTATTCATAAGACTAACCATAAGAGTGTTTGTTTTGCGATGGCTTTGAATAATTTGTAACATTGGATATCTGTTAGCCTTTTATTCCTATACTATTTAATGGCCTCTCAAAGCAGGAATTGTATGAATAAATAAATTGAAATATAGCCCCGATTTTGCAATCATTCCTCTGGAATATATTGAATTTTATTACTGTATATGTAATAAATTTTTATATAACAAATTCAAAACATTTGTTTCGAGAATTTTTTTGAGTGAATGAAAAAGTATGACATTTATAAAGTTGTCATTCAAATTATCTCATCGTTTTGTTTTATGCAATACACTGTACTGTATGTATGCATTATGTAATAAATAATATGTTAATTCTGTACATCACATGACTTTCACTAAACAGAGAATTGATTTAAATTGCAAACCTTCTGAAACATGCAATTATTTTAGTCGAGTTTTTTGTCAACTCTTTTGCTAAAATTCTTTGAGTATATAATAAAACTTTTCGAAACACAATTCCTTTGCATATCATATATACGATAAGAATATTCACAAATTCTTACATCATATACACAAGAAAAACATTATTTAAATTATAGATAATGTGTTTTCCAACACGCCATTAGATAAATGATTATGGTATACATTATTATTATATAATTACTTTAAGTGTTATTAAATGAAAATAATTATTAATAATATGCAAAGCATTTAAAATTATAATGAAAATAACTTGATAATAAAAATAAATGATAGTTTCAATGCATTCCTCAATTGATGTAATTATAATAAGAAAGAAGTCATAAAATGATTCAACGAATTGAGAACTTATTGATTGGATTTCTTCTTGAGATAAGCTTTTGTTGAACTGAATGGCAATCGTATAACATATCAGAGGAAACAAGTCTATCGAGTCAGTGGAGCGGACGGTGCGCTCAGCCGTCTATGCAAATCGATTAATACAATAAGTGTTTACGACTTCTTCACAAATTATGTGTTGCCTTTCATTTGTCTTCTCTATTATACAACACATATTCTCCTCCTTTTTGTTCATAGAAAGCAATTTAACTAATTTTTCAAATGTTGTTTAAGAATCATTTTTTATTCATAACATTGTTATGTAGTGTTTGTTATTCTGTTGAATAAAGTATAGAATATTTCATACGAGATGTTTTGAAATTCTTGATTCTTTTGATCAGGATTTGCATCAATTTAAGCCATAACTTTTTATTGCATTTAAAATAATAATTTACGGTAAAGTGTTTTATGTTTGACAATATATTCTTTAATCCTTGCTTTTGGTTTAATTTAACAATTTTATCAATTATTTATTTAACAAGTATTTATCATTTATAAATAAATTACAACTTTTAATTAAATATTCAAAAGTTCTTATGAGCACTAATTTATGTGTTTATAATTATTTTATTTTAAACAAATATAATTAACCATAATTTATTAATTTCAACATTTGCCTTTAGGTCATTTCTTCAAAATTTTAATATTCCTCGCAATTTATTTTAAAATTGCAATTTTAATCATTAAAACTTCAAACAAGAATCAGTTGTGCAAAATCTAATAAGATATTTAATTAAACAATAAGATTGCAATTTCTATATTAAATCAAACAAAATTAATATAAGCATTGAAAAGAGTGGGAGAAGTGAGTTATTGATCACAAAACGATGTCATAAACAGAATGTTTCAGTCCTTTAGTTAATAATTGATTGTTAAGAACTTAAGTGCTATTTCTTGTTGTATATAACTTCTCGTCCTATACTTGAAAGTGAACTACAAATACAAACAACAAGTTATAAATCAATGCAATGATTCAAAATTAAATTGTTTATATCCAAAGCACTTGTTTTATTTTTCTCGCAAATGAAATCACATTTAAAAATCAGGAGAGAAAATATATTACATTTTTTAGGCCTTATCTAAAGCCTAGAGAAAAATATTTTTGCATAAAATAATACTTTTCGCTACTTTTATCGTACAATATATCGCATTATATATTATTTATTACATAATATAAATAAAAAATATTCATATAAATTGATTTCTGAAAATGCTTTTTATTCACTGAAAAACAACATTAAGTAACGGAATATATTTTATTAAATTTATTTATTTTGCGAACAGAATATTCTTCACATTATTTAGTGCACAAAATTGAGTGCAAAAGCGAAATGAATAACACTATTATATGAGGCAATTGTCAAGAATATGTCGACGAGTTTGGATTTGAGGACAATATTCAACAAAGTTTTCTGCCTTTTTCTCTCGTTATGGCTATTATTTGGGTATAATGTGTGCCAAACACGGTATGGGTGTCCGGCGCGACCACTAATTAAGCCATGTTCGTGTCAGGAAATTACCAAAGGATTAGACGTCTCCTGTGAAGGTATGTCATCGACTCTTTTTTATGATCATTCAATCAAATGACTGCAACAGAAACCCCTAATTCATTACTGGCGTTCATTTGTGTGGAAAGCCATCGCTAACCGCATATTATAAGAGACCAGTAATAATGGTTTAGGCATTAGTATCGCATCACTCGCTTATTGAGTCGATTTGCACTCTATTTGATAGTCGACTCGACTGCCAATCGATGCCTAAATATAATTAGATTTATTTTGAATGAATAGAAACTATAATTACATTTACTGTTAAATACAAAAGGGATCGCATTGTGAATATAGTTGACTGTTATTTATATTGACGAGCGTTTGATTAATGAAACAAATTAATTAATTTTGTAACGAGAAAAACAAAAGTTAATACACAATAAAAGTAACACTCAATTCAATACATAATTAGGCGCTCGTTTAGAGCAGTTGAGGGAAGCGCTGGAGAATTTCGGCCAAACCGGACAAATAGTGTGGTATTTAAAGATGAGAAAGAATCAAATGCCGACATTTCCCACATTCCTGTTGGACGGACTCGATGTGAGACATTTGGTGGCCCATCACTGCAACATCACATCCATCGACGACTCGGCGTTTAGCACTTTAGCCGATCAGTTGGAGTCATTGGATCTCTCGCAGAACGGATTGCATGAGGTTTTCAGTCATTCAATATTTCTATTGTATTGTAAATGCAAATCAAGTCTCTTAACGGCAAGTGCTTAACATTTAGGTCCCGAGCAAAGGACTCGAACCCCTGTCGGCGTTAATATCACTGAATTTGAATTATAATTTAATTGAAGAAATAAAAGCCGGCGCTTTCAAGGGCTTAATATCGCTTCTAAGGCTATCGATGTATGGAAATAAAATCAAGACAATAGATGTGATGGCATTTACGGGAATCGGCGGTAATTTAACCAGAATTAATTTAGGCGGCAATTTATTACCAGCTATTCCTTCAAAATCACTGCAAAATTTAAAAGCATTACAAGTAAGCAATAAATCTCTGATTCCTGATTATTCATATGAGTTGTGCAGAGATTTACAAAAAATAAAATATATCGTTGTGTTTCTGCTTTCAACAAATAGAGCCGTATTTTCAAACAAATAATTTTAAAAGCAAATAAAATAGTTGTGAATAAATTTGATTTTTGATTTAAGATTGAGTGCTTTTAGCGAAAAAATAGGAATAAAATTTTAAATCCAATGCTTATAATGAGATAAAAATATATTGATTTCATTTACAGAGACTTCAATTACATGAAAATAAGATCAGCTCAATCACTACCCACGAGTTGGATGGCATACCATTGGCCCACAGTTTAGATGTCTTGAATTTAGCCATCAATTTATTGGAAGAACTCAACGAAAATGCATTTTCAAACTTCGAAGCATTGAATTCATTAGATTTAGAGGGAAATCATATCTCAAAAATACATATCAATGCTTTCCAAGGCATTGAAGGTTTGCATAAAAATATTTTGCCTGCATTTATGTCAATAAAAAAAATACGTAAATGAAAATTGAAATCTCATTTAAAGAATCGCTCGAATGGTTAAAATTGGGCGAAAATCGTTTGGAAGAGATTCCTTCTTCAGCGCTGAGGAATCTGACAAAACTGAGACAACTGGACCTCAGAGGCAATAATATTACTTTTATAAGCAAAGACTCGTTCACAACGTTTGGAAATAATCTCAAATTTATTTATCTGCAAAAAAATAAGTGAGTTATGAATTTTGTCGTATGATTTGCATTAAATTCATTTCATTTATCAATTTATTATGATTTTGTCGCAACAATTTTCTATCCATTTTTCGTACATTATCATTGAATACTAAAATAAAATATGATATAACATTGTAATACCAAAAGTTATATAATAATAAGTTATAAAAACCAATCCTAACACGACTTAACCATTCTTTTGCGATATACTGTACAGAATGTAATGCTTTTATCGATTTTTATGCGCTATAAAAACTACTTATACTTATAGTCATATAATATTTTATATAAAACACAATATTATATAACAGATGAGTCTAACACGAGTGTAGACTATGTTTTTTTTGACTCAAATCATTAAAAATAGGAAACTCTAAAAAATCAATTAATGTATAGTAAGAGAAGTGCTCTCTCGATGAACAGAATATTTTCTCCGTTTGTAAACAATTTCTATAATATATTTTTAAAAGAGAGTCAATATATAAACAGATATATTGATGTACAGAATAAGTGTACCATTATTGTCACAACCTGTTATATCCATATACAGTAATATAATATCCATATTATAATACAGTATATCCCATAACAGCTATAAAAATCTAAAGTCTCTGTCCACTCGCACAGGAGCTTATGTTAAATAATGCCAATTTTTATTGTCAACTGCATTATAGTCAGCCAACACTATATTACATCAAACATACTTTAAACACACAATTTTGAAACTTTGTGAACAAAATTTTTGAGTTAAATTTGATTACAATCACAAAGGATTTTTTTTTGCTGAATTCACTGTTTTTTTTAACGTTGCGCTATTTTGATGTATTTATCGCACATAAAAATACATACCATAAACAAAACGGTTAACATTTACAAACTTCAAAATAAAATCTCAATTTTTCACTTTATCACAGAATTTTAGATTAAAAGATAGCCTTTCTATAAAATACATGACTTGAATGTTTTACTGAGCCCTCAATTTGATTCCGGATTATGTGTTGAAATCGGATTACTATTACTTTTATTGTGTATACAATATATAGAAAATGGAAAGAAAAATATATGTGATAATTGTTTTATTGAGCCATTTATTCATTGCCAGCAATTGTATTAATGCTATAAATTGTCATTTCGTTTATACGATATGATAGTATCGATAATATAGAGACGGGAGCTCTGGATAACTTGGAATCTCTGGACTGGTTTTATATCCATACAAACAAATTAAAGTCAATGCCATACAGAATATTCTCACCACTTCTCCACACACTCTCTGTTTTTGATACACACGGTATGTAATCGTTTCATATTATTGTCAACATTAACGAGAATCTAGTTTTTTTGATACCATGTTTTATTAGTAAATAAATATTTATACACATTTATTTTAATTGATATGTTTTTCTTAAATTATTAATAATTTGTAATTTTAAAAATATTTTTCAAAACAAATCCAAAAAGCATATTATATTAATTTATATATATTTATATATTCTGCATACATTTTGATTAATGCAGAATATATAACTTATATTAATATTAGCGTTTATATCTTGTAATGCGGGTTTCAAGTAATAAAATTAAAGTCTATTTAATTCTCAAGATAATAAACTTAGATCAGCGGTCTATTCACTGAATTAATCATATACTATCTCCCATTGTGTCACCAATTTTTCAATTTCCTAATTAAAGATTAAACTTGATTTTAAGATTAAAATCTGAAGACACCCCCGATTTGATGACATCTGCCATTTTTAACACCATTTCTCTCACAGACATTAGAAATGATGGGTATCTGTGGTNGCTACAATCAAGGGCGCGGCACATTTTTAGCTACAGTGGTCATTGATGCCCACTCATACCATTTACATTATAAATGTGTTTAATTTATCGGGTGAACAACCGGGTCAAATAAGCTTTTTATAAATTTGTATAAAGCAATGTCTAATATGTGCTGCCGTACGGGTGGCCAGACATCGGTTGGACAGACATTTATATGCGATTTGGACACAAATTAATTAACAGTAATAATCAATAGATATTTTAGGCCAATAGTGAACAAAATAATCAATTGAAAACAATAAAATAATCCATATACAAAAAACTATAGGTTAACCCGCATTACAACATATAAATAGTAATATACATCGAAACGCAGAGGGGCCAGTGTAGGGCCACTCTATTGTAATGGGCTAATGTAATGTCTATGGGTGCATGTAGGCAAAGCCTACGTTTGCGTCGTCCTGGTAATATATAATTTCCATAATATGCACATAAATAAATCAAAATAAATATTTAAATCAAAAGCAAAAAGACATTTTGTCAAAAAAGACTAAATACACAAAAATGCAAATTTCAATGCATTTGTCGTGAATTGTATGTTATTTATTAAGAGATCAAACGCTGCCTTAATTTAAATTTCATGACACGTCCTCTAAAAACCATATCTTTTATAAAAATTTTAGACATTAAATAAATGTTTATGTAATGAAAGATTTATTATAGTTTCCGCCTTTCAATCTTATTTTTAATCTCCAAAAGTAGTAAATCTCAACAAAAAACACACATTTTTTACAATCATGTCATAAAGCATTGCATAAGTGTTTGCATTTTTCCAGAATATAATCCATTTTAAAAGTTTTCTTATTTTTACTTTAAAAATCCATTTAAACTTTTCTTTCGTAATTTTAACTTTCAAAATGTGACTCCAATTCTCCAAACACTATACCATTTGTGTGTATTTGTTGTAATCATTATTAGAAACATACGGTTCACCTAAGAATTGATACGAATTTCCGAAATTTCCTCACCAAAAACTCATTTATTTTATTCTCTTCTTCTTCTTTAAACTAACATTTCTCTCAAAAATCTAAAAGCAATAAAAATCTCAAAAAAAATTCGATATAACAGTGCAGTAAAGCTTTAGAGGCGAGTGAATTATGTTAGCGCCGGTGATCTCCCTCTCAGACTAAACAAATTGAGAGTCCACTGAAAAGTCATAAATTTTAAATTTAGTTTTTAAACAAATTTTAATTTTTCTTCATTTCTCTAATGGATTATAACATTTCAAACTATAAAATATTCAAAACATTCTATGTATACAATAAGTACAGATATGCACAAAAGTTATAATAATAATAACCAAAATATTATTTCCAAAACAGACAATCCGTTTGTGTGCGACTGTGGTATCACATGGTTTAGAGAGTGGATAGTAAACGGCCGCGGATTTAATGTCGTCAGTCTTCCCAAAGAGACCAAATGTTTTGCGCCAAAGAGTCTCGAGAAGACACCCATTTCGGAGATACCGTACGATGTGTTGAGCTGTACGAACGCCAGTCCCGCCGATCACAGCCCGTCTCTGCCAACCCTGTTATCCATTTGTTTCATTTTCTTATTCAGCAATTTTATGCGATGAACACATTCTTTAAAAAGCAATTTGTTTCACATATGTATTAAAAGCGATTCCTCGGATAAAATGTTGAGTTTGGATACGATTTGTTAAAACTGACAAAAACGAGAGACTGTTTTTGAATTAACGGACAAAATGTTGTGTAAAATAAATGACAAGGAATTTGATAAATGGTGTTTTATTGGCTGAAAAATGTTATTATTGTTATTATTATTTTATATCCAATT